CTTGGTAGTTGAACTGGATGTGTGTGTATATGTGTTTGTGTATTTGTATGCATTTACTTGAGAGTGTAACCACATTTCCCCAAGGCTGCTGGGCACATAAGAGTGAGGCACCTTCCCAGTGGGCACTTTCCATGCTCCATGTTGCTTTTTCCAAGCACACTAGTATGGGCCCTTGACTGGTGTGCAGTTCTGACTTGAGCTCTAAAGTGGACAATGAGCTTCCTTTTTCTTCCTGTTGACCATCTGCCCACAAGGGGAACCATTAGCACACATCTGTGCAAACTCACTGCCAGTAGGTCCACAATCTGTCTATACACTGGCAACTAAAATCAAGTTCTAACCTCATGATTCATTTGTCATCTGAGAATGTTGCTGAGTCTCCAGTCACTGCTGTGAGCATAGGTCTGGGGCACATTTCACCCTCACAGTGAGACCTGGGGAGGCAGATGATGCTCAAATTCATGGTCCTCAGCAGAGCATGAAAGCCTCTCCCAGGGTGGGAGCCCCAAACACCAGGATTCCCTGTGGACAGTGGAGAGGGGTGTGGGTGGCTTCGGGCCTGGGGCTCCTTCACACTTGCTTCTGTGTTGCTTTCAGTGGGGCTCTGCCAGCAGGAAGCTCCTGGGACGTGACAGCTCAGCCTTCCCCGTAACAGTCCCACCACCTGCATATCGACTCTGGTGGTCCAGGAATGAGATGGAAACTAGTTCATCTTACTGGACCCATTGCTTCCACCAACCCTAAGATGAGAGATATGATGGAAAAAGGAACATAGTTACACTGGGAAGGCTGAAGATAAGGCTTGGGGCTTTGTAGCTGGGAAATGTACCCTGGATGAAAGCACTTGAACTCATCCAGTGATGTGCCTGGAACACTGCTCATGAGCTCGAGACTGCAGTGTGTACTGACTTTGCTGCTGGTGACTCTGGGTATTGCCCTGGGACCTTATCCTTGCTGCTGTTGTTTCCATCAGAAAAAGGAGTTTTCTTTATTGCTTTCTCTGGTTAGGGTGAGGTGAATCTGTAACTCTATAAGGTGTTTACAGGGCAATGTGAAGCCATACAATATCATGGAGAATCTGTTTGGTGTGTCCATTTTATTTGAATGTTTCATGTCAAATGTTTTATATTAAAATCTACATACATAAAGAATAGAGGAGAAAAGTGGTGTAATTTGCATATAAAAATGCAACTCATTTTTGAGAATTTATTTTGTTTCCTGCAACTTTGCTTTGTTCTTTAGTTCTAACAGTCTTGTTTTTCGGGGAATTGTCAGGGTTTTCTACATAAAAGGTCATGTCACCTGTAAGCAGAGATAACTTAACTTCTTTCTTCTAATTTGAATGCTTTATATTTTTCTTGCCTAATTGTTTTGGCTAGGACTTCTAGTATTATTTTGCATCTATGCAGTGATAGTGAGTATTCTTGCTTTGTTGTTGATTGTATATGAAATGCTTTAAGTTTACACCACAGAGTATGTTTGTTGTCAGTTTTTAATATATACTTTTTATTATTTCGAGAATAAATAATCTAAAAGGAAAACAAGTAAACAATACTACTTACCATTGCACCACAAAAGTTACTTAGGAATCAACTTAAATAAGGAGGTCAAAAATATATACACTGGAAACTATAAAACACTGCTGAAGGAAATTATAAAAGACTCAGATAAATTGAAAGATATTCTAAGTTCATGGACTGGAAGAGTTCATATTGTGAAAAAGTCCATGCTATCCAGAGCAAACTACAGATTCCATGCAATGTCTAACAAAATCCCAGTGTCTTCATTTTTATAGAAATAGAAAAATATCCTAAAATTCATATGGAACCACAAAGGATCCTGATATCAAAAAAAATCTTGAGAAAGAATAAAGATCAATAATTCATACTTACTGACTTCAAAACAGTATAAAGCTACCATAACCAAAACTGTATGGTATGAGTATAAGAATAGACATAGATACCAATGAAGCAAAATAAAGAGCCCAGAAATAAAACTCATGTACATATGGTGAAATGATTGTAGACAAAGGTGCCCGGAATGCAGAATGGAGAAAGATAGTCACTATAAGAAACTGTGTCAAGAATACTGGATACCCACATGCAATAAAGAATAGAGCAAAACAGGAATAATATAAATGAAATCCTTATTTAATAACATATGCAAAACTCAATTAAAAAATCAACATAAGAACTGAACTGCAAAACTCTTAGAAAAAAATACAGGAGGAAAGCTTATAACATTGGTTTTAGCATTGGATTCTTGGATATGACACCAAAAACACAGGGAACAAAAGCAGAAATAAGCCACTGGAACTGCATCAAACTAGAAAGTCAATACTCACCAAGAGAAATAATCAACAGAGTAAAAAGGCAACCTATGCAATGGGAGAAAATATTTGCCAACCATATATCTGATAAGGATTAATATGCAAAATACGTAAGAAACTTCTACAACTCAATAACAAAACCAACAAATAACATGATTAACAAATAGGCAAAGGACTTGAATAGGCATTTCTCCAATGAACACATACAACAGCCAGCAACTGTATGAGAAGATGCTCAACATAGGTAATTATTAGGGAAATGCAAATCGCAAAGACTTCATGCCTATTAGGCTGGCTAATAGCAAAAAACAAAACAATAGTTGATATGTGTTGCTGAGGTTCTAGAGAAAATGGAAGCCTTGAACACTGTTGGCAGGAATGTTAATTTTTGCAGCTGTTGCAGAAAATAGAATGGGGTTCCAAAAAATGTTGGAAATAGTACTAACATATGATCCAGCAATCTTACCTCCAGGTATATATCCAAATGATTTGATATTAGGGTTCTGAAGAGTTTTTCACTCTCTGTTCATTGTGGCATTGTTAATGAGAGTCAGGATATGGAAACAACCCTGTCAACTCCACTGACAGGTGAGTGCATGAAGAGAATGTGGTGTGTATATATAGAAGGCCATATTATTCAACCTTAAATTGAAGGAAATCTTACCATTTGCTACAAATGGATGGATCTAGAAGACACCATGCTAATTGAAATTAGTCATGGAAGGGCAAACACTTCATAATTCCTTTTATTTGACGCATCTTAAATGATGAAATCTGCATAAATAGACAGTAAGACAGTGGTTAATAGGGGAGCAGGAGGGGGATATGTGAAATTGTTGCTAAATGGGTATAAAGTTACAGTTACACAAGATAAATAAATTGCAGAGATCTGTACAGCACAGTGCTTATAGCCAACAGTAAGGTCTTGTGCCCTTAGAGGTCTGTTAAGAGGGTAGATCTCATGTTATGTGTCCTTACCAGAAACACGCACAACAAAGCGACATATTAAAAAACAACCAATATGATATTATAAACTTAAAAGTTCATGAAGAGGGGAGATCTTACATTGTCTTCTTACCACACACAATAATAGTAATAATAAGTGAGAGAATGGTAGAAAAAGTAGGTAAATAGTCAACATTTTTTCAAGTTGGAGAAAACAGAATATTATGGTAACATGAGTGTTCAGTGGCAGGGATTCAAATAAATAAACACTAATGAAAATTGGAAAGAAAATAATTGGAAAAGTGAATTTTCTTGGAACAAAACTATAAGGATGCATGCTGTTACCATGACTTTAGGAGGCCGTCCAAATAAATAAACAAGACACAGATGAAAGGAGAGAGAGAGAGAATGTATTAGGTTTGGCACTAATTAAGTCAGTCCTCAGCTCATGAAACAATACAGTATTTCCCAATTTGTACTTCTTCATGGTATCATCAAATAATCATTATGACAATAATGATATGAGCTAAATTTTGTTATCTCTTTACTTGATGTCAAAGCAGTGCTTGCTGAATGCCTTACATATCTTGTATCAGTTTGTTCTCACAACAACCCTATAACAAAGGAATTTTTTTTTAGTTGCAAGAAAGTTGACATATTAGTGTCTGGTGTAGAAAATGGTGCCAATTATGCCCATGTAAAAAATGCTCACCAGAAGAAGTGTAGTTACCATACAAAGATATTACAGGGTTATTGACCATATTCCCTATGCTGGACTTTTCATCTCATGAATGACTTTATAACTGGAAGTTTGTTCCTCTTGATCCCTTCCTCCTGTCTCACCCATCCCCCTCACTCCTCCCTTCTGGCTGCCAACCATTCGTTGAAATCACATGGTATGTGTCGTCCTCTGCCTGACTTATTTCACTTGGCATAATGCCCTCTAGCTTCAGCAGTAGGAAGGGCTTCACCTAAATTTTAAGAGTGGAGAGCGGCAGGTTCACATAAGCCTTCCATACATGGAGTAAAAATCCTTTCAAGGTTTGGTTTTGGCTATAACTTCCCCCCAAAATAGTTTGTTTTTTGTCCTCTCCTTTCCTGGGACAAACTTGGAGCACTCTTTTCTGTTCCCTGTGGTTGTGGGAAGGGTAGGGTCTGGTGTCTCTTTGATTCATTTCTTTGGAGATTAGAGTCCGTCTGTCCCCCAGCTCAAATTAGGTCCCACATGAGGACGTCCTGGGCCCATCTTCTATTGTTCTGGTCCTGAAACCCAAGCTTAAGTGTTTGAAGTTTTACATTGTATTTAGGATAAAAGTGGCTTCAGTGAACCAACATTTTCTGGTGGTAGATTTAAGAGTAAGTTGGGCCCAAATATCTGCATTTTCTTTTTGTCCCTTCCTTTCCCTTCTGCTTCCCTCCCTCCCACCCTCTTTCCTTTTATCCCCAGCGTGTTTTATGATTTCCCTTGGATTGGTGATAGGAAGAACCTCGCCTATCATTTCTGGAAACTGAACCCATTTAAAGACATTTTGGATTTGAAATAGATAGAAGCTGTTTGCAGTTTTAGAGCATCTAACATTAATGTGAGAGCTTCTGTGTTGAGCTCTGTGTCTTTTCTTGTCACCCGACTGCACCTCAGTGATGGCGTGTTTGGCTTGTGGTTTACAGTGGAGACTTTCACAATATGCAGCTTATGAAACTCACTTCTTTGCTCAGTGATTGCTTTGCATAGACCCCTCCAGGCCCAGAGCAGCTGCTAAGGGCTTATAAAAGGGGCCTTTGCCATGGGAGCTGAGCTGCAGCAGGCGGGCAGGCGCAGCAAGATGGTATCACAAACGCAGGTCCTCACGTTCTTGTTGCTCTGGGTCACAGGTGAGGAATTCACAAGTGCAACAATCCTTTTGGAGTGAGTAGTATCTTCTTAGAGTTAAAAATTTTTTAGATGTAATAAGAAATACTGGCTATTTCCAATACAGGCTCGATTTTGTGCAGACATGTAATGACATTAGGAAGCCTATTTTTAAAATACAGTATTTCAAGGTGTGTAGCACAAAGTAGTGTGTGTGTGTCATCCTTATCCTTTTGTGATTGCAGGTGCCTGCGGGGACATCGTGATGACCCAGTCTCCAGCTTTCTTGGCTGTGTCTCCAGGACAGAGGGTCACCATAAACTGCAGGGCCAGTCAGAGTGTTAGCAGCTACATAGCCTGGTACCAGCAGAAGCCTGGGCAGGCTCCAAAACTGCTCATCTACTCGGCTTCCACACGTGCATCTGGGGTCCCCGACCGCTTCAGTGGCAGTGGGTCTGGGACAGATTTCACTTTCACCATCAGCAGCGCCCAGGCTGAGGATTTGGCAATTTATTACTGCCAGCATTATAACTATCCTCCCACAGTGCTTCAGCCTCGAACACAAACCCCAGGGTCACGGGCCAGTGCATCCCTGCTGGGCCAGCTGCTTCCTCCCCACAGCTTTGAACACACACATCCGTCTATGAGCCTGAGAGGTCCCACCTCCTGATTGATTCCTGGCAGTAGGTAGGGCCCATGAGAAAATTACACCAGTTGGATTTTCTGTATCCCTTTTTGTGGGGGATTATTGAAGAACAACCCTCTGAAGATCTCTTAGAGATGCTGCCAGGAGTTGTGTCATAAGGACCTGTATGTTCCCAATGGACAGGTCCCCTGAGTGAGCCAGGAAGGTCGGGCACCCTCTCTCAGCACGTCCTGTGAATTGTACATGCTGCTGGATCAATTCTCTCTTACTGGTTCCCCTTGACTGGCTCATTTCTATTTTAATACCTTATTCTCACTGTCTTCCTTCTTTATCTGCAATCGCCCTCCAACTCTGGACCTCCCCAGTAGTAAACCCTTGGCTTCTCTCATTAAAAACCTTCCACATAGCATGTGGCATCCCTCCCTTGTGTTTCCTTTCCATGGACCCTGTTTTCCAGCCAAGCCTTTCTGGCCACTGTCACTGCAGCTGCTCTCCCACTCTGTCCCCTTTTGTACCACCGTTTGCTGTTAAGTCCATTTCTCTCCATTGTACTCATTCTTACAAGATGATTCCCTAATTCTTTCAGCTGTCATTGTAGAATTATCTGGTAGTGTTCCTCAGTACCTTTTCTCATCATATGCCAACTTTCCCTGTAAAGCCACCCCTTGGATTTGTGAGTGAAGGAAGTCATGGCTGTAAATGTGCTGTAAGTTGAATTTCTTGGATTACATGTAATTAATTTTAGTGTCGTTCCTTCACCTTCTTGTGAAATAAGGAAATTTAGCTTCAGGAACAATTGCTGCAAACCTGACCAGTCTCCTCTGAACACGAGTATACATAACAACTTCTCCCAGTAATTAGAAATGTAATTGAAGTATTGATATTAAGGAATCTATGTCCTTCATTTCTTCAAGATATGATTTTTGAGTGCATGTTGTGTGTCAAGAGCACAAATATCTGATTTCACTCCATTTGGGAGAGACAAACATACATAACTTTGTAAGTGCTACAAAGAAAAATAAATAAAGCAAGGGAGTAAACCTTGTTGGCTAAGAGGGGACATTTAAAATCAAATGAGGTATTAGTTAGCTGTTGTCATGTAATAAAACAACCTCAAAAGTGTAGTTGCTCAAGATGGCAGTGTTTTTCTTGCTGTCATGCTTATGGTTAGCTGAGCGGTTCTGTTAATATGGGCCACGCATGACTGACTTTGGCTGGGTGGCTCATGTATTTAAAGTTGGTTGACAGGTCACCTCCGTGGTAGCTGACAGAGGAAGGCTCGCATCTCTTTCTTCTCCTTCCCATTTGTGTTGCTTCTGACCATCAGCTGGGGCTGTTCAGGTGACTGGCTTCATGTCTCTCCTGATCTGGTAGATGGTGCTCAACTTCCATGGCAGTTGGCAGGGCTGAGAGAGAGAGAGAGAGAGAGAGAGAGAGAGAGAGAGAGAGAGCACATACACCCTGCTGAAACCTAACCACGAAGTGACACAGTGTCCCACTGCCACATTCTAGGTCAGTGAAGTGGATGCCACTGAAGATGAATGTAAATAGCCCCTGTCTCTTGACACAGGAACTGCAGAGTGACATGGCATAAAGCACGGGTATGGGAAGGGATAAAGATGGGGGACCTGTTTCTGCATGCATCCATGGATGGTCATAGAACATTAGCCTGAGAATATGACTTAATCGATGTTTTAATGTAGAGAAGAAATGCGCCGAAGGAATACTTCCAGGAAATAGGGTCCTAGTTTGAGGAAACAGCACAGTTCTGAGGCAGATCTGTGATCACATGTAGAAAAAGAAGGAAGGCAATGCTGCTAAAATGGAGCGTGCAAGGGGGACAGCAGGGGAAGTAAGATCAAAGGCCACGCTGTGTAGGACGCTGTGGGCCTCTCCGAGGACTGGGGTTTGTTTGAAGGATGTGGTCAGTGGGAGAGCTCTGAATAGGGAAGAGGGAGCAGGAGGTCTGGCCCTGAGGGGACTCTCCACCTGGGGACTTTGTCTCACGTGGACGCAGGAGCAGGGGCCCAAGATCTGGGATGGTGGTACCACTTGCTGCCTCTTGCCCTCCCGGGAGCCCAGACCCTGTCTGTAGAAGAGACCTATTTGTCTGCCTTTGACCACAGGGCTGGCTGTTGGGGGCCCTGAGGAGGTTGGTGCAAATCCCCAGGAGGATGAGGCGGGTCTGGTGGAGTTGGGTTGTGGTCGCACTTGGTGATGCTTTGGCAGGAACCCCAAGTGCATTCGCTGCCCAGAGTTGCCCCTGATGATGTGCCCGGAGTCACAGATGTGGTGGCTGTGACCCCCCATGGCACATAGACTGACGTCTGGTCCTGAGGGGCTCACTCCTGTGCTCATTATTCCCGGAGGGCCCAGGTCCCTGTGAGGTGCAGGCAGGTGTCCTGTGAGGACCCAGAGCAGTTCTGGGAGGCTCAGGCCGACTGAGGGTCCCTGCGCCTGCACCAGGTGGAGCCCCTCATCCCAGATGCTCCTTTCCACAGGGATCAGTCAGGGGGTGTGGGGCTGTGACCCAGGAACAGGAGAACATAGGACTTTTTCTCTCAAGTTATCCTCAGTGGATTTAGCCCTTGGTTGTTCAGGTGTTCATTAAACCAGCCTGATCATGAGAATCAGACAAAGGAATTTCATTCTCCCCCATGGTGCCCATTTGGCCTGGAGTGGCCATTTTGGCTGCCCTTTGGATGAAATCTCAGGCAAATCCTTCATCCTTTGTAGTAATTCTTAAATAATAGTGCCATGTCTACATTTCCTGTCACAGTTGGTTTCCTAGGTGCCTGGCAATGCGGGCCCTCTGAGGGGGTGAGCACCTCACTGTCCTCCCTTCCCCACCTGCGGTCCACAGAGAGCTGTTGCCTGAGGAGGGAGAAGAGTTGGGTGGCAGCAGCTCTCCGTTTGTGTCTGCACCCCAGTATCTCTGGCTTTTACAGGTGTGTGGACAGTGCTCACTGCTCCCCGGGCTGGAGGTGCTGTAACTTCATGAAGGCCCCCACCTCTCAGGGCTGCACCCTCACCTCCCTGAGCAGCACCTCACCCCAGCCTCAGCTTTGGTTTCCTCAGGCCAGAAGCAGATGTACAGCCCCCGAAAGTGCCCCCATCCTTCTGGAAAAGCATGATTTTCTCTAAGGCATCTGGAAGGTGGAAGGTGGGACTCAGTAACAGATCCTTAAAGGGCTTTTCCAAATTTCTGTTTGTTGACCACCATGTGGTGATTCTTTATAAAAGAGTCAGTGTCAAAAAGTAGTTTTCAGAAGCACTGGGAGCATGTCTCATCTTGGAATCTCTTCCAGAAACAGGGCTGAGATGGTCCCAGTGTCCTATCCCATGCAGGTGCCAGGAGGAGTGCAGTCAGTTTGGGGCCCATGTGACAGCGGACCTTGAGTCGGTCTCACTCTCAGGCCCATGGAGAAGGGAGGTCTTGGGAACAGGAAGTTGGTTCCTCATGGGAGGCAGCCCTGGAGGTGAGGCTGTGTTGTCACCTCCTCTGCAGAGGAGACAGTGACCTCTGTCCCTCCCAAGCCTGGGGCTGACCCTCTCCCAGCTCCCTCCTCCCTCTTTTAGCTCCACTCACCAGCCCCTCCACATCTACCTCAGACGCACTGCATCTGCATCATGTCCTCAGATACACTGGCATCTGCCTCCTGACTTTCCTCTGCCTTTCAGCTCCTGTTTCTACTAGAACCTGATTTTAAATGGCCTACTGGATTTGGTGGTTGAATTTCTATGTGAGAAAAGCCTGATTATTAGTTAATCTCCATTATTCCTGTTTGACATGTTTATACTAGTCCATGTCCTAAGCCACTCCTAACCCTTAGGTGGGCTGGTTTGGATCAGGTGACACTCTCTCCCAGTGGAATATTTCCAATTGTTCAATGTTATTCTTAACCTGAGCCCTGTTTCTAGCCTGTGTTTGTGAAGATCCCACATCAACCACGAGGGAAATCAACCCTCTGGACATGTAATCTCAGTTTATCCAGTTCCTGTCTTATTTGACATATAACACTGTGGAAGTTCAAGGTGTGCAGTATGTTGACTTGGTACTTTTTTATGTTGCAAAATGATTAGCACCATACCTAGCTAACATCTGTATCAGGTTCCCAAATTATCATTTCTTTTTTGTGGTGAAAATAATTTAAGATCTAGTTTCTTAGCAACTTTGAAGTTTACACCTTTGAAGTCAACAGTATTTTTTATTATAATCACTAAGCTGTGCATTAGCTCTCCAGGGCCTATTTATCTAGTAGTTTCAAGGTTTTAACCTTAATTATTAATCCCCAATCTCCCAACCCCCTAGCCTCTTGTAACTACCATTCTTGCCTTTGTTTTCATGACTTCAGCTTTTTAAGATTCCACATATAAGTGAGATACTAGAGTACTTGTCTTTGTCTGTCTGACTTACCTCACTGGGCATAATGCCCTCAAGATCCATCCATGTTGTACCAAATGGCAGGATTTCTTTCTTTCTCACAGCTGAATGGTATTCCACTGTGTATATGTACACAGCTACTTTATTCATTCATCGGTGGACTGGTGGCTATTGTGAATAATACTGCAATTAACATGGGAATGCATGTATCATTTTAAACTCTTGTATGCATTTCCTTAGAAAATAAATGCAGAAGTGAAATTAATGGATCATATGGTACTTCCATTTGTACTTATTTATAGTGATTTCTGCCTTTTTCTGCTCCTTTATCTAATACCAAAGCCTCACCCAATCACTGTCTAGCATACATCCTGTTTTCTTACTGTCATTGAATTTATCTTCTCTCAATTGTTAACAGAATTGATCAGAAGTTGAATTTATTTTTTGGTGGATAGAAGGGCCAGGATGAGGGTTAGGCAGAGAAATAAATTAGTTATATTAGTATAATTTGGAAAATACAATACAGTAAATGATATTTGTGCTGATCCAGATAAGAAAGGAGGAAGGAACCCATGTGACTAATAAATGGTTTATGTTGTTGTGGACTCCAACATGAGGCATCAAAATGCAAGGCCTGGCCCTGTGGGATGTGGGG